TTTGAACACCGCTTTCTTTAATGGATTTTTCTTCTAATTTGATGGGATAACCGGACACTCAATGCCGAGAATAAACGAGGAGTTCTAGATAAGGGCGGTTGCCCACCACATCAGGCAGTTCACCTCGACAGATTTTGATAGCTGGTATATGTCACGAAAGCAGGATCCCTCGATATGCGATGTTAGTCGATACAAACAATTAGTGAAAGAAAACTGGTGGTCAGTGGACTTGGTCTCATAGGTCGCATTTGACTTCCCGTTTGGGGACCTCGAGGTCAGTCGAATCGATGTTTTTGGACACAATCCTGCATACAGTGGCGCTCGTGCAACTCCTCGATTTTCACGAATTGAGTTTCACTGTTTTCTGTCTTCTTACCTTGGCTTTGTTCCCAGCTTTCTACTGATTCTGTGTGGGCAGCCAAAAGATAGCAACTATAATCCGTGAACGTCAATAAGAGTTGAAAGTTTCTACAAATAAAACAAAACTGACACCTATTTATCGCCCTTTGTCATGCCCTGTCTTCAAGTTACTTCCACAAAAATGATGAATAATTTATCTGAGCTACAAAATGATTAGGAATTCGTGGTAATTAGAGTCTAGATGTTTGAGTTGTGTTTGTGTGCACGCGCATTTGCTCAGCCTTCACTTATCGGACGTGATAATTGGTCTGGAAATTCAAATTGGTTCAATTCGTTCTCGCCTCATAAGTTCACGTGATATGGAATGCTCAGAATAAATTAATCAGTTTTGAATGGCAAAAACGTTCGGCTAGCGTTCATTCGCTAACGAGATCTATGATGCAATATCAATACATTTTATTCGTTCGTCTGGTTTATGGCATCGAGCGTAGAACACCGAAACAAATATAAGATGATACTATCTTCCCCGGCAAGTAGTTCATGAGTGTTCTTTTATCTGGCATGTACGTAATGTTTCGTTGAAATTGAAGGGTCGTGTGTACTGCACCAGCGTGCGATCAGTCCTTTTTTATAGTTAAGAGACCCTACATTTGCGCGTGACAGATATTCGTCGTCTAGAAGTCTTAGACTGCCGATGTTCACGTAGTTTGGCGCGGGTTGGATGGAGTGAGCGTGTAAGGAAATCTGAGGTAAAGCGTCGCGTATTTGGTAATGATTCGACGGAAAATTCTTTGTCCCATCGAATTCAGATTAGTCGGCTTCGCTGGTTCGGACACGTATTGCGCATGCCCATTCATTGTCTAACGGACCGCACCTTATTCGCAGTTGCGGCTCCAGGTTGGGAGAAACAATGTGTAGGTCAACAGATGATGTGGACATGAGGCATAAAGAAATGCACAGAGTGATCGGGTAGAATAGGTGTCTCCCATCTTCCAGTTTAAAGTCCAAGAGACTCTGCAACTGGTTGGTTGGAGACACTGAAGAATATGGAACTACCCGACAGCAGTGGCTTTCTTGTCATTTCTTATCCGGTCAGAATACTTGAGACGGTACGTATGCAGAGTTCGATTGTGTACTCTGTTTGTTGACCATAGAGGTTCACTTTCATTGCCCCTCTCCAATTATGCCCAATCCCTCTCCATCTAGTACTCTATCACTTAATTTGTGTACATTATGAGCTTGGTAGAGATCAGTGAAGTTCGCCTCACTTCATCTCGCTGTACAAGGATAATGATGATGTTTTTTATGGCATATCCTTCTGTATCGAACCGTGAAAGGCGTCAAACTCAAAGTCCTACGAAAGTTTCGTGCTACTATGTGTATCCTTTCAAAATTCGCACACTGGGGACGTACAGTGGAACGTGGTAGTAATGGTGTCGTGAGATACCACTCACTTGTGAGTAGTAGGTAACTTTCGATGATTAAAAATATAACAAGACCATCAAGGGCCAAGTGATATGTGTGGATGAATAACTACTGACTGCTCTATACATTACTCTGTGTATCGGAAAGAATTGCGATGGCACGTTTCTGCTTAGGTTTTTGTGTTATGCATGCAAAATTATTGATCTCACATCTGCAATCCTCAATAAACGAATATCCTCGACCAGCACCGTCGTTTTGAATTATAACAGTGGAAATGTTGCTGATGATACAGTGTAGGTCAAACGCGAAAATCTCATTCCATTAGAACGAGTCACTTACTGGTAGGTCTATCTCACCCCCCCCCAGCACTGTGCGTACAATTCCAAAGTACGAAGAGGTGCTATCAGACGCCCTGTGTTTCGTCGAAAGAGTGCATGTCGCTGTTCTGTTTCAAGTGAAACGCTACAACTAAGATTATCTCAGTGCTTGCGTAGGAATCGATTTATAATATCATCATCTTTAACGCAGGGATGTGTCTTCCCCAGTTGCGCAGGTTGACTAAGACACATGTTGAATAGGTATGGTTTGAATGCACGACGGCCGCTAAAACATCCTTGAAATTTCTGACTGATATCGATTGGCACATCTCAGATCGGCGATGCATCAGTTTCCCAGCACGATGGAGTAATAACTTGTGGAACAAAAGAGCAAGATTTCATTGAGGTCGTCATGGAAAATAAAAGTCGGTGTGCCTTCTAACAGTAGCTTCAATTGTTTATTCAGCACGTTCGAGCACTTTAAACTAGTCGTGGTTCCGTCAGTGTGATTCAGCGCGTTCTTCTCATGAAACCAGATAACTCGACACATTGTGCGAGAACCCTCGATCACCTTGCAATGCCGATACACTCATTTCATTTATGTACCTTTTTCCTTTTATCGCCAAACTGTCATCTTTTCATCTGTCGTTTGTACTGGAAAACTTCTTTTATCGCTCTACATCAAATTACTGTCGTCGCCGCCTTCCAATAAACACAAGAAATCCACCACCAGCTAAGATAAGGTAACTTACGAATGAGGTGAATCCCTCTACCAGCGACTCCTGGTACGTCCGCTTACACTCACGAATCAGCCTGGTCCAGCAGTTTTTCAGCGTTCCATAGTTTCTCCAAGTACCGACATCCGAAGACGTTAGTATTGTCACCATGATGGATCCATCAGAGATATCCGTTTCCTCATGCTTACCATCACTCGTCTGATAGTATCCTTTTTCATCCCGCTGAGATTTGTATTACTGCCTCTGGTTCACTTCCATCTTGAGTTACTCTCACAAATGACTTAGGCGATTCAGGTGTCTTTGTGTAGTAATGCTCATGAAATTCACTTTCGATAAGGTAATGCGAGGACTCGTTTGAGTTATGGTAAACCGATTAGATGTTTGTGCTCAACAGTTGCGAGATGTGTCGGGTCGGTACTCCTAGTTAAACTTCAGCATTGACCATACTGTTTAGAAATATCAGTTTGCTCAAAGTTATCGGCCAGGTGGCTCACGAGAACTGAACTGCACTGAACTTTCGTTGTGCTGCATTGATGCTTTCGTCCTATCATCTGATAATTTCAGAGAATTGGTGACCAACACGTTTCGACGATCATGCTAGAATGATGAAAATACTCATTCAATGATCCAAATGAGCAATTCCCATTCTTCGCCACTCCACTCCACACCCACTCCCCCGTTGCTTATTCTGACCGAAGCTTGCAATTGCATTCAGTCAAAAGAGAAACGGAAATTCCCCTGCTCGATCCTAATAGCTGTTCGTTGTTGAGTCGACGAGGCAGTTCGGATGGATAGCGTGATACCGATCACAGCCGCCAAACAAGATGCGATGGTCTTCTATCGTAGCTGCATCATATGTAGTCTCACCAGGACAGGTAAACATGTGTTGTCGAACGGCAAAGTGCATGTCCATAACAGATCTCAAGGTTTCACCTCATGCACCTATGGACTTTGTTCCTTCAAAGTACAACTGGACGTTGCTAGATTGAAATACTTCAAACTAACCAAGTTGAGTATCAGGAGACCTTTTTGCCAAACAGTGTGGTCTAATAGAGATATCTATGCCCATGAGATTAAACTCTCTTCAGCTGGTATAATGTTTTGTCTGATGCTGGCTCGCGAATTTTCATATTGCTATTCCATTTTATTCCACCTCTTTCGACCCTAATTTTCTCATCAGACTACCACTTTGGAAAATGCCATGGCCGATGCCCTGTTGAATGATCGGTTAAATTTTGTTCGTCTGCTGTTAGCTAAGGGATTGGATATTCAAAGCTTTCTAACCGTGGGCCGATTGGAAGATTTGTACATTGCAGCGAGCGATGCAAACAATCAGTCATTTCATAAACTGTTTGCCAAAGTGATGGGTCCCCGTCAAGTAAGCTTTGGATGTTTTTTGTTTGATATTTTCCGAATTGATTGTTTTTTCCACATCTGAATCAGTATACGGAGTGATTCGAGTCATTTAATTGTAAATGATCAAGGTGTTAGTGCTCATGTCGACTAGTAAAGCCTAAAAGTGGTACAGTATGCTTCTTGACGCGGATAGCATGAAAGGCCACCAGGCTGATTGTAAGGGGTAAAAATGCACAACAAAAATCCAACGATGGTACTGTGTTATGATGAATGTCACCCAAAACTAATAGGGCAATCGCCCCCCTTGTTTTTTTTCCATTTGATCAATGGAGATAAACAAGCTTAACTTTGAGCCAACAACTGAGTACATCTTGTAATCGTATTTCTGATTAGTAAAGGGAGCAACCTCGTATTCATATAGATTGCAACTACTACATCTTACCGATTCTGTGCTAACATATGGAAGAGGTGAAAGCATCAGTTTGGCAAACCCTGAAGAGTGAAAATCGTGGTAGTAACGGTAGCAAACGGACAAAGAGACAGAGATGCACATAACACAAACTTTGAATGAAAAACCTAAATAAAATGTACTATAACGGAACAGATGTGAAATATCTTCTGAAGAAGATAGTTGAGTCTCGCGTAGAAAACGTTTGAGCTAAAGTGAGTTCAACGCGACGATGCACAGCGTCAACATTGCGGTTATGACTGCGACTGATGATGAAAACAATCTGTGCAGTATGCTGTTCCATGTTTTGTTGTTTTGAAAAATTGGTAACCTTAGCCATCGCATTTGGAGTGTCGAGCTAAACACGACCCTAATAGAAAGGATGTGGCACTGCACAACGTAACAGCGAAGCCATCTTCCACCGGGCCCCGCCCATTTATTTTTACTTCATTCGCGCAGAAATAATTTCCTGAAAACGGCAATTATCATTTTTATCCTAACTTCCTCATTTCCACTAATTATCTTCATTCATTTGTGCTGTGATGATAAAATTTACTCGCCTGCTACCGGAATGTCAGTTCTGCATTACTTATCACCAAGCTAGACTGTTTGTTTATCTTGGTGACATTTTCATTGATTGGGGTATGATGATGTTCTGCTGCTGTCCGTTATTCGATCATTCTGCCCAGTGTTCCCACTGCTCTCAACCCAGCTGACAGTGGAACTTCGCTCCTTTGTCAGAGCACGATGTGAGCCCTCATTTTTGCGCGATTTTATTCAGTTGCATCGTTATTTAGTTGTGTTCAGAGGTTAAAAATGAGGTACACTGTAATACCCGCTTTTATCCTATAATACTGTTGCGCTTTCGATAGATGTCAAACAGTTCTATCTGGATTATCACACAGCTTCATTTTACCTGTCAGTCGACTAGGCTATTTGACGGCATTCCTTGTGACCGTTTGGTGTGATGCTCACGTTTATGAAACACATCAGTTATCGATCTTCACTCTCTTAAAGTGGTTGATTTATTGCCGAATACCTGTCACATGCGCGGTTCAAAAGTGCTAATCTGTTGGTCGAAATTCTTCGTCCCTCAATTCTGATCTGCTGTACTGATTATTTATGTCACGGTGCCTTATGCTCTCTGTGATACGCGATACATTCAAAATTCACGATTTCCTTTAATACTTTCACTCTCAAATGAATAATTACCACGATGGTTTCCATATAAAGTCTTGATCTCAGCACCGTTCCCGTTCATATTGCGATAATACTGAATTCTCCAAACCGCTTCAACTGTGTGTGAACTGAAGCCTGTCTTTTTGCACTCAATCTATTCCAATTAGCGTATTACGCTTCGCGCCATTGGTCAGTTGATCGAGGACCTAATCGGAGGTGGCTATCAGCACACGTATTGTGACAAAACTGGCAGTGGTCAACTCCCCTCACCGGAGCACTGTTTACCAACCTTGAATGCACATCTATATTCTTCCGATCCTCACTTGGTAAGTACAGTTAACACTGGAGTGAGCATGTGTTATTGCATGAGTACACGTGCATGTTTTCATGATGACGAAGCCGCCTTCGTAGTACAAAAGACATGCTATACGACCAGTATGTGTTCAACGAATGTGACCTTATCGGATCTAGACAGACTGTGGTTTTTCAGCTAGTTTCTCGTATTTTTCTTTCTGCGTATGTATTGCATGAGTTCAATTGCCTAACTGGTATTGCATTCTGTTGAAAACGAATAGAGTAAGAGTAAATGAAACAAAACCAATAATATATCTGGCTCCTACAACACTTCAAATTTGGTGTTTTTGCTGTCGCCCGACGTACGGTCGGATCTTGCCTGTTGTGTAATGTGTGACTCGCGGAAATAGGGTTTACGTTTATCCATTGCCCGGACAAAACGGTGTGTCCACTATTTTCTTGGAGTCAAGATCCGATCACCATGATTCCAGCATCTGTAATGCTTTGACGATTCGCATCATCTTTGGAATTTTGCACCCTTCCCACACATCTCGAATAGCCCTCGCGTTTTGCGTGTGGATGACATGATTATCTCATTTGTGTCATAACTTTGCTAAATTTCGATTGACCAAACAATGCAAGTTTCCACACCCGCTGTGGTCGCTTTCTACTCACAACAGTCCGATTCGTGCTTTTGTAAGGACGGTTATGATGTAACTTATATTATTGAGAACATGGAATAAACTATGTTCATGTATCCATCCGTTTGAAAATGTTGCTTATGATAGTAGTTGGTAATCGCATGTTTCGCATTGCTATGAAACGCCTGCATACAAGCATACGCATAAATACATGTATATGCCCTACATTGCTGAGGGATCTCAAACTTGCTGCTTTGTGCTATGCCATGTGCTATGCATAGACGTGTCAACCTGGGCCACACAGCTACGTGGACTTGAATGTGAAGATGCACCGTTCGGTTGCATTCGCTCGAAATTATACATTGCGGTATCACAGCAACGCATGGAATGAGCTGACATGAGTCATCATGTCATGGTTTCTGTTTCGCAGAGCATAAATACCATCACTCAAAATTAACAGCACCTACTTTGCCTTTTTGATAACAATGACAACAACAAAATATCGTGATACACGGCTTCCTGATAGTCCCCTTTCACAATCGTACGACAACAGGCCGCTACTGCACTCCAGGAGGAGAAGGTTGCCTATCCCTATCCAAATAAGTCGGTAACCTACACCAATTTGGAGCACGCGATGGCTGCAGTCACGGGATTCCAGGTTGCGTTGGCGCACTGGCATCCACCGACCACATCGACGCAATTCAATTCTCAAACTCAAAATGAATGCAAACCATCGGCCAGACCATCTGAAATCTTTATTGGCCGAAACGGAATCCCACAATCGAACCGATCTTCCCGCTTTCGTTACCCCTATACTGAACTACTTCAGTGGGCTCTACTAACGCGACGTTACGAAATGGCTCGATTTATGGTGTTAGCTGGTGAGGAGTCCATAGCCAAGGTAGGTTTTTTTGCTTGTACTGGATTACAATTTTTTTCCAGTCCTTTATTGTTCCAATTAATGCAAAGATTCCTCAGAATAGGAGAATCACGGTTTGGACATGGATCAGATATATACTGAGCATCAAAGCAATCAATCATCATTCTTTGCATTTTTCACTAGAGTGACCTGAGCCATGTAGTGTGAGTTAAGTTCCCGCCCTTTACGGAGCACCCGGTTGTGTGTCACCTTTGTATTCTTTCACATTCTTATACTTATATTTGTTCGAAGCGGTACTTTCAGGACTGTCGATACGTATACCGTTTAGAATTCCGTTGACTTTTGACTATTACCTGTAACTTTCAGGCCTCGTTTTTTTTTATCATTGCGTATTTTTTCTGACAGTCGTTTATTTTCACCCACGGGAAACCTTGCTGAGTCAATTATTCGTATACCTGGTCAACTTGCCTGATCGGTTCACTCATTTCATCACTTATGCAGGCCTTATTCTCTGTGAAACTTCTCCGTTCCATTCGTCACTCCACCGTGGATGATGATTCCGAACCTGACCTAGCTCAACAATTCCGGGATCAAGAAAGGTATGTTAACCCCGAATGGAGTTCTCGTTTTGACTTTCTCCAGCCCCACTAGTAGTTGCAAAAAGTTCAAGAAAATCACGGTCATTCATTGCATGTGTTGGAGATAATTTAGTCATTTATTTCATCCCTGAGAGCAATGTTACTTTTCTGCAAATTGTTAATGCAGGCCCTGTTTGCGGAGTTATGAAAATCCTCAGTGTTGTCTATACTGTTCACCGTTGCTCATGGTCCGAATTCGCTAAATTACTGATCATAACTTGTTGTTTATTTGTATAACCCATACTTTTTCGGTGGATTAGTTACTCAGAATCGCTTTGATTCCTAACAATGGTTTATTATTCACGGTTTGTTGATTTACCATACTGACATTTTGAATAGGGGGGTATAAATTTTCATGTACCTTGTTCGCTCGGATTTTTGCTCATCATATGCATTTAGTGGGTCATCTCGTTCGTTAGCCCGTCGGTTCGTCTTGCAGTCTTTTCATGAATTATATTCCACCTCTGTGCGAAAGAAACCGGTGAGATACAATAGATTGAAGCTTTAATGAAAAATAAACAATGATAATAAATGTCTTTTTATTTCCTTTTTCATTTATTGAATATACAAATGTACAATCAACTTTCAAGAAGGGAGCTGCGGTCATACAAAGGCTGCCTGGTGAAATACAGAAATAGGGAAGACGAGGGCGACGGTGGAATGGTTCGAACCCGGGACTTCTGGGTCACAATTCGGTGACCTAACCACTTGGCCACCACCACCACGAGAGAAACTGACTTTAAGTATTTCAATAGCAAAATTATTGAACGACGGTTGTTCACCCATCGCGGTATTAAGGTTTTTTTGTTCGCGCCATTGGGAAAATCCACAAAAAGTGACGTAATATTTATCTATTTATTCTATCGTATGATGTGCTACGAGAACCGCTAGACCGGTAATGTGCCTCCTGGAAAATTTTGTCGAGTTATTCATGTACTACTTATCGCGATATTATGTTATATATATATAGCTTCATAGACCCCATCCCAAATTCCTAAATATACCTGATTTTGATCCCATATAAAATTCTCTGTGGATACTCATCGGTGAAATATATCACAACTTGACTGGTGAATATTATGAATTGTGCAATTATATTGCATTGATTGCGATGAAGGTAGTGGGGATCGGATTAGTGTATTGCATAGTCAAGAAGAGTACGAAGACACTTCTGAATGCACTACTCCATCAGATGATTCAGTGTTTTCTCTGTAACTTCTAGTTCAGCCAAGGTTGTAAACGCAATTGATCTTTTCGTTCAAGTAATTAACATGGTTTGGGGGGAGGGGGGAGTTAATGGTCATTTACTTCTCCTGAGTGTGGAGGTTTTCATAATCGGACACGCTACCCTCAATTAGATTGACAAATTTCATCAACTTGTTGATTCGGTTTGTTCCTCATGCTGTTCTTTAATTGTTGATGTTTTCACCTTCGTCAAGTCTTCACCGTCAAAGCGTGCAAGAACGAATCACTCAAGTCAGTTCAGTTTTGAGTGAGTAGTCGTCATATCAGTCCGGCCAACTTCAAGGCAGCAACCGTAGATTAGTGCACTTTATCAGAACAAAATCCCTTGTAGTCGTGATCCTACTTTTACTCACAATTCTGCAAACTATTTCACTGTTCATCTCATTTAGGATCTTCATGTTTAGGAGAACGTTTCCATACTTATAACACGTCTGTTAAAAGAAACTGTTCTTTGCTAACAAGAATGCGTTCTTCAGAGGGTACCGTGAAGTTACGATAAACGCTTACGCGCTAGAGAAAATAAGGATATTGGGGTCTAGTTAACCGATGGGGACGACAGGAAATGGAATGAGTGCATTGGATGAGTTGCAATCCATAAGAATCTTCTGTGCAACCTTTTCACATGCTTTCAAATGATGTTCATACAGATTAGTTATAAACACTTCCAGTGGATTTTAAGAGGCACGGCTAACGTTAGCCAGTCCACATCGAGGCAGCTCAAAGTTTTTCCTTAAGAGATTTGAACATTTAACAGGAGAATAATAAAATAAAACAAGGAGAACACGTTGTTACGTGAATTCGAATGTAATCAACTGTTGAATTCGAAGCTGATGATATTCATGGATATAGACAGAAACTCGTCGAAGTTGAGTGTACGTATGTTGAATGCGGGAGTACTAATGAGGATTATCATTGATAAAACAAACAGGCATTTCTTACAGCCTACCGGCTTAGAGCTAATCCCTACTGAATCCACTGGGAAAGAAAAACATAATAACTTACAGAGACATTCAAAACATATAGACGGATTAGGATAGTGGAAGGAAGCGGCATAGACTTGTAGGACGTTATCCAGGTTATTAGAAAATTGCAGAGGATCAGAAGAATCGGATCTAACCTGACACAAAACCACATCGTCAGCGTGTTAGAGAAAATAGAAGTCAGCTGAAAAATCTATGATAGATGAAAAACCAGTATTGGGAAAGGAACGCACTTTGGGATACTCTGGACTTGTCCCCAATGTTATGTAAAATGTTGAAAGTTTTTTCTTTAGAAACTGCTTCTACTTAGACAACATCATCTGGAACAAATGACGTGACATTGTTTGATGGGTGGATGAAGGCTGTGTTAACACTGTGCAAATTCCTTTGCACAAAGTAATCTAACACTCAGCTCAATTCGCTTATTATTGTCTCAGTGCAGCAGCTGGGTGTTTGTACGACACAGATAGGCGATTGACTTCAGCTTTGACAGCCGCTGTTTTCAGAATAATACGATCCTTCCTTCTATTTTCGGAATGATTTAAACTGAGAAGATGCTATTCGGCCCTCACCGATAGATCCAGTTTAAAAAGGGCAGTATATGATAAAGATGTGATCGAGTAAAGAAGGATGGGAGGAAAAAACAAAAAGCAACACTGATGGAACGCCTAAGAAAGTGTTTGGGGGGGGGGAGCGAGATTTCGAAAGCTAATAGTGACTTCGTTGATTTCTATAAGTGTGCTGTCACAAGGACGGGGAGATACTGTGGGTTTCCATCATGATGAGACTGCATCTTCACATGATGTGATGGCTTGCATGCTTCCATGACCCTGTGAGTTATGCAGGATGGCTCCTCACAGTCGTAGATTCAATCATGCCTGGAATATCAATAAGCAGAAGCCAGACGAAGCTCATTTTCACAAGGTTAGCTGCTTAGGTACCTCCTGGCTTCCTTTGTCTATCCACACTGGAAGTACGTCTTAGGTACCCATTTGGAAATTCATTTTTCTCGTCTGTCCAGTTCTTCCTCTCACTCCCAAATCGTACGAGATACCTCCTGTTTGCATCATCCATGGGATATTACTCAGCGTTCAACTGGTCAGATCAACCAATCAGAAGCTATTAGGTTTTTGAAACCAAAATCTCCTTTTTACTCAGCCTCAGTTAAGGTCCGCACACTCCATAAAATCGGTCAACAAATGACCTTAGCCAAAACTCTTGAAAATTTCAAGTTAGATATATGCTGTCTCCTAAACAAACATAAAAACCTTACTTCAATCATCACCTTGCGACCTTCAGATGCCACTCCATCCTCACTTCTCATTCTCCGTTTATCAGGCCATTCGACATCCTAAGCTCGCGATGTTGCTGGTATCGGTATTGCACTAAGTGTCAAGGTCGAGCATTCACTTCTTGATTGGATTCCGGTTAGTACCTGACCGTGCGCTCTATATCTGGATGGTTCAGTACGGGTCAACATCTACGGAACGGCGTATTGGCGCTTATTCGTCGTATCCGTGTATGCATCGACCGATTTCAGTTCGGCAAGAAATGAAGGATGAATTATACAAAGACCTATCAACTGCTTCAAAGTGCTCGGTCAACGGACATTGTGGTAGCCGGCGGAGACTTCAATGATCAAGTGGGATACTTGAACGAATCCAACAGGCGTCTTGGTGGTACTCATGCAATCCAATCCAACCGGACAGAAACTTGCGTTTTCAAGTTTGAGTAGAAATCCGAAAATCTGTCAACGAGGATGTAAAAGACAGTATTGAGCATATCATACTTAAGACAGATTAACCGTGACCGTGAATAAACCTTTCGAGTGGTCACTAGGTACTATTAACCCGAAACCAAAACAAATCCGATGAAAGAAATGTTGCGCAGCCAATTGAAGCGCTCAACCGTGGGCAAGCAGTTTCCAACCGAGTCCCTAATTTCAGTTTTTCAGGACGTTTTGCTTCTAGTGCGAATCAAAAGCTCAAACACCACTCAGATTCATGGCTGAATGACCAAATATATTGTTCGGCGGCAAGAACTCTATTTGGATACTGTTATACGACGGATTGAAAGAATGACCTCCAGTCAATCATGTTGCGGGTGACCAAATACACTGCTGTAACGCCTCTTTAACCAATAGTGTGCCGTGTATAGGCTGCGATCACACTTATCTATTAGGAAGCAGTGTCCGAGAACCACGTAAATGTTCTCAAAACCGTCTAATCAAAAACATCAAGCCACTTCAAGGTCTATGATCGCATCTTCCTTTCATTTGCCATCACAGGCGGTCTCTAACAAAAGTGCCTGGCTTCACCCTTCCTCTTTAATTTCGTGCTCTAGAAAACTGCAAGACTTCCGGTGTGGAGCTTCTCCCAGGCAGTCGACTCGTTGACTGTGAATATACAGGTGACATTGTTATACGACTCCTCCCAAGACGCTCAAAACGTCCTGTGTAAGTTAGCGCTGTCCGTCACACAGTTTGGAATGGTCTTGCTTCCGTCGAAATGTAAGGTCTTACTACAAAACTAGCAAGAAGCTACACTTACTCTTACACTCATTAGCGTTGTTAATCGTCGATAACTACCTATATTAGAGTTGTTTCAGCTCAAGAGGACTGACAGAAGAAATACCTGTAATCTGAAATATCTGCAAGGCCCTGGTGGCTTTCGCTAATTTATGCCACTTGTAGAGTCGACACGATCTCAGTCTCTCCTTGAAAGGCCACGTTTACAATGCCACAATCCGCACTGTCTTGCTCTACGACTGCGAGAACTGGCTCCCTCATGCAAAAGACGTACGGGGTCTAAGTGTCTTGGACCACCGTTGCTTTCGTTACGTTGCCAGAATACGTTGGCAACAGCGAACCATTAACGATGAGGTTTGCCGAGGAACACAGCGATGTCAGTACAGGTGAAAATACGCCGACGTTTAGGTTACCGTGGGTAACCTTTATCAAGACGATTTTACAATCGGTTGTAAAATCACCTTGATAAAGGTTAACCGAAACGTCGGCTTCTTTTCACCTGTACCGACATCGCTATGTTTTAAAAATTACAACTTATATAAAACATATCACATGGGGCATCGATTTTTCAATACACCGAACGTTGTTCGGATCTGACACTTTGCCGAAGAACCTTCACATCACAATCTCAGTTGTCTCCTGAGTGCCGTTATTTCGCTCCAGAGACTGATGGCTGGGGTATGTTTTGCGGATGCCGGCTGAACGATTGATTCGTCGTATTATATTTGGGCAGGCCGAAACTAACTGAAGTCGGTGATGAGGTGGACAACGAATAAACTGGGCTCGAATGATGAAGGCATTAACTTAAAAATTGATAGTAATAAGACGCTCTAGACGCGCAGGTAGGAGCCTCAAGGATAACGAACATCTATGGCATGAGACACTGGCCGATTTGGCGAGACTCTTCGTTGATTTTTGTGTTTGAACCTTTTACACATTTTCTTCATATGTGGTCGGCTAATTACCAATTCTGTTAGATTGTTCACGTGTTGAATATATATATATATATATATATATATGTATGTATGTAGTTCTGATTAACATTTGATCGTTTTCAATCCATAATTGTTATATAAATACATATATCTCGATAAATCATTTAATACACGATAAAATATTTTTTTGAAATCCGCGTTGCAGGAAAGCCTTAATAAGTGAACGGTGATATGGAGAGGGATGGCCACATAAATAATCATTCAACCTAGTGCTAGGTTTTAATTCTTTCGTTCCCCACGATCTATGATGAAATATCATGCCGCACTGTGTTCATGGATCAAGTCACACATCTGGTAACATTATCAAACTTGTCCTCGCATGTCAGTGCTTAAAATTTATACATTTGTCGGTTTAGCATTTGATGTCCTCGTCTTGGTTCAAATTAATTCAGATGCCGTGACCGTGTGCGACTGTGTTTGCTCTCTCGGTAGAGTTTAGATGAAGATTTAACAACGGCTGGATAAAAGAGCCTTCATTCCAGTGCTCATCCGCGAGAGATGTTACTTTCAGTTATATTATATGATGGGTCGCCTGGCGCCTCGTAATCCTTTATGCGTTCATGCAAATTCATTTCCTCTCTATACACACCGCATTTTTTGTCTATTTTGAGAATGGTCAGCAATATTGTTACGCACGCACATGCACCTTAATTTCAATTACACCTTGTATTGTGCGAAACTCGATTCCAAGGCTCCGATTCTCGCTGTTTTATAGTGTTTTATGGTGTTTGCTGTATGGTCAATGAGAAATTAGCATGTTCCTGGTGGAACAGCAATCTGACATGAAAAACTGATTATCATAAGTGGTTATTCTATGTGACCCAAAATAAATATTCAAGGAGCAAGCTTGAGTCACTAAAGTTCACGAGTGACATCGGTTTCTGTGACAGATTCCTATTGATAACCAATGCTATTTTTTTCAGTTTCTGATTGCTGACGAATTATTACCACTTTTAATCCGCTGCCGAACGGCAAGTGTTGTGGCTAGCCCAAGGCACAGAAAATCATCGGTAGTAGCTTGTATAGTCCGACATCTTTACTATGCTCACGCACAATCATGAAATCATTTTTTCTTTATGAGAATACCCGTATCGTGATGTTTTTGTTGATATTGCCCATATCGAGACAGCTTTACCGTACAATCATTTAACAAAATTCCTCACTTATCGGACCAATCAGTAACTTCGAGCTTGGGTTAGTCTGTAAAGTAAGTGGTTAACTCCCATGAGATTGACGTTCAAGCGTCATACACTATCGATCATTGTAGAAACCATCGCCACTTGCGCGTAGAATTAGTGAACACTGATTTGTTCCTATAGCGTTCTCAGTTTTCACACTTTCCTTATTTTAGTGATACCGCATTGACACATTTTTGTACTTCATTCTTTCATCCTTGTGAACAGTGCTTTTGAGCGACTTGCAGTCGAATTACAAGATCATTGCTATCGTCATGATCCGGACCAAGCCAAACGATTGTTGACTTACGAATTACACGCGTTTTCCGATAACACCTGTCTGAGTTTGGCCTACATGTGCGAATCCAAGGAGTTTATTGGTCACGCTTGCACACAATCCATATTAAATGATTTGTGGTACGGCGGTCTTCGACAGGGTAAAATGGTTGGAGCCAAAGTGGCCCTAATCCTGATCGGTTTAGCGTTTCCACCGATCTACCCCCTGATTGTCTATTGCTTTTCCACCCGGAGCAAATTTATTGAATTTAAAACCAAAGAGGAATTGGCTCAACAGCCTCAGACATTGCAGGAACATTTGGATGATTTAGAGTCTTCCTCGTCAACATCGTCGTCAGCGTCATCCTCTTCCTCGTCATCTTCCTCCCGGTCCCACTCACCATCATCCGCTGGCGCATCTGGCCACTCTTCACGGGGTTCCAGTCGACGCTCGTCCCAGTAAGTTGCCTTCTGTGGTTTTTTGTACCCAGCCATACGTTTCAGTGTTTTTTATGTTAGCTTACTAGCTACACACTGGTCTGTGAAGCGTGAAAATGTATCGTAGAGTTGCGTTTCCGTTGTGTGATAACTTTGTCCCAAATCACTTTTCATTTAACCACTCTTGTTTTCCATCTTCCGCTCGATTTTGTAGTGTAAGAATAAGCCCTACCGAAGCAGTAGTATTTTAAAGTGAAGTAGTGAATTAGTGAGCATCTGGGGTCTTTTATTTCAGATCGATCGACCGATAAATTGAGCCGTAACAATAGATTTCCGTAGGCACCACAGTTGATTATTTCAACTGGCAAAAAATGCTTTTGCCTTCCCCACATAGCAGGCCACTTCCGTGATGCATAACTGCCTCAATAGCTGAGTTTTCGCTAGAAGTTACGTGTAGATCAAATTGAGGAATTTCACATTATTTATTGAAACAAGCATTTTTAGAAATCCATGCTCTTCCTCATGTAACTGAAGTATGATCTGAAAAGCTAGATAGCAATATATAGCTGTTTCGACCCTTATGGATTTCATCAGCGATGCACGAATCCACCAGCCCAACTGGAGATCAAAGTCGGGATCTCACAGCTCGAGGGCAAACATACTAAAAACTTGACCGTTTTCAATGAAATATGAACTTCAAATTGAAATTCGTCGTGTATATGGCAAATGAAGCATGAAATGAAAAGCTAGGAAACACTGGACAGCTGTTTCGACTTGGTTAGGTCTCATCAGCAGTGCGAATCCATCGACCCAACTTGAAATCAGTAGTCAGGTTGTGAAAGTTTTCAACCGAATCAACCCTGGAGGCTAGTGCTGAGATGAGCAGGGTCTGTGACCCGCAACAAGCTCGCAAAGATGGGTTGTGCTATATCGTGTAAATTGAAAATGAAAAACGGTCCATTGTTTTCTAGCCTTTCAGTTCACGCTTCATTTGTTATATACGCGACGAATTTAAAGGGCAAAGAAATGATGCCGGTATTCAAATCGTCATTTTTGGAGCACTTATTTGAATGAGTGCTCCCTAAGGTGTGTTTTGGGCGACAATATGACCAGTGACCGACATGGGTGATCAGGGTTCTGCATTATTTGATACATTAAAATAAAGTCTCCTCAAATTCGGTGAAACTGTGTGGACTACAGCTCCAATGACACCAATCTTCCCCCATAATTCTTGGAATGCAGTCCCTTGACCATTTTGGTGGCCATTCTTTGTGGACCTTCCAGAGTCTTACGATCGCGTTTCAGTCATGGATTCCACGCTTGAATGGCATACTCTATGTGGGGTCGAATATAGGGTTATAACAACCATGGGAACAGCGTAGGTCTAAATTCGCCAAATACTCGCTTCAGCAAACCAACTTTTTTTTACAGCGGTGAACGACGCCCTGAAGTAGTTTAAAGGACAAATTAGGTTATCTTGAACATTGACACCAAGATCCCTCTCATTTGAGCCATGTAGAAGTTATTAGCATCCCAGGAAGTACGGAAACCGAGTTTTGTGGTGAAGGGATACTACCGTACCTCTTGATGTATTGTATTCGATATCGTTTGCGGCAGCGTTAGGTGTTCTCTGAAGTGCCAATGAGCCCTCGGATCTTGTCACAGTCTTCCATATTTTTGTATCATCTGCGAACTGACGTTTGTGGCCTCAGAATATCCGTTCGATCGTTTATAAAAACTAGAAAAAGTTGAGGTACAAGTGCGGATCCCTGTGAAATGCCTCGGGCTACGCTGATAGGATCAGAAAGTGACCCAGAAACCTGAACTGCCGTGGTGCGTTGTCGAAGAAATTATTCTGTCCAACCGAGTTCAAGTCCTCGGATTCCATACTTGTGTAGCTTCTTGAGCAGTATTTTGTGATTCACTCAGTCGAATGCTTCGGGCAAGTCGATGCACACTACATCCACAGTATAACTGTGATGTTGCTTATCCTACTCATTTGTTATGGGTTTTTTGTTTTTCAAATGCTATGGGAATGTTTGTGATGACCGACAAAGAACACTGGGCAGCTGTTTCTTCCTGTTTGGAACTCATCAGTAGTGCACACCTTTTGTGTCCCTATCAGGACTCGAACCGCAAACATTCGGGTCGGGACTTCAAACCCTTACCCTTGAGCTACACGGTCGACGGTCTTCATCTTGTGTGAATGGCTCAATCAATTTGGACGATGGAATGGGCTAATCCACACTTTATACATGGATTTTGTTTTTGTTTATTGCTCTTCGTCTTCTCTTACGGGCATGTAGAAAAATTGGGTGTAGCTCAGGATTTAGACTAAACTCAGTTTCGCACTTCGAGTCCCACAGTGAATACAAGAGCAATGCGCGCGCACTAATAATGAGTCCAATGAAGGACGAAACAACTGTCAAATGCACAATTTGTCGGTCACTGCACCTGAAATTCCGTCGCAGAAAAACTGCATTACCACGTAAAAATCAGCAGACTCCCCAAGGTGTGAGACCCATACAAACGCAGACAGGCCCCGGGGGTCTGTACATTTTTATAAATTTGACTAGGAGTGTTCAATAACATCTTCCTGTAATTGTAACCACTATGAGATTCAGATGCTTCTGTTCAGTATCTAACTCGTATCTACTATCTGAGTGCGGTCAACTGTTTGGTTTTTCTCCTGATTGAATTTTACTAGTTCCGTAAGTAGCAGAATGTCACACATCTTATTTATCTCGCTGTTTTTCCGTTTTAGTATTAAAAAGTCAAATATTCGCATTTTCTCAGTTGAATATCTCCACTGATCAATTTCTTCATAAATTAAAATATCCCCACCCTGTTGAATCAGCAGAAAAATTCCCCGATATCGTCTGGAATATACCATGTCACCGTTTTATCTGGCTGTATCCGTATAGATTGGTGTATATATACATATACCTCTTGTTTACGCAAATAATAAGAATGCTAGGTTCTGGAAGTTGCATGGCCTGATTTGATGGGTTTGTCCCCTTGCATTTTATGTTCCATTCGTCTCACGTCTCAGAGCCGTCAATGCTCCTATTACTACTAATACTGCTTCCCGTGCTGACACTGCACCAACCAACCCGAGTCCATCTAATGTGAAATCTCAAACGCGACCGGTTATGGGTGCCTTGGGAGATCAACCCACTGTGGTACGTTTTTTCTTGTCGACGGGATTTCGTGTCATATTGTTTGGGTCACCCATTCTACCCGTAAAGTACCTGGAAAATTACATGATTTTATCTGCCTTTCTCAGGCGAAATCTTCCGGTATACGTAATAGAAAGCATTAGGCGTATCAAGGTTATACCGAATCAGAGGATAACGAAATCAAATGAACATCATTGTGGCAATTGTTGAGTTTGATCTTTCAGTTTACACAACCCTTATAGGGCTGCTATTCCCTGCGCTATCATTGTTGCTTCTTGTTTTCTTATCCGTGGAATGAATTGCCTAATGAATAAACATTCCTCTTAAGATATGATCGCAGAATTAAGATGGAAATTGTGTACGTGGGATGAAAATGTACAATGTAAAAAGAGACCTTCGTTCCGAAGTTTCTTTTCAATATATCGCAATACTTCATTACATACATATATATAATCTCTCACATTCGCTTGCTCGCCTGTTTTATCGTTATAAACTGAGCTCTAATCAACCAATCAGATATCTGTACTATTATTGGCTTATACATGCGATTATTATAGAGGGATTGTAATATCGAAATAAACTTCTCGGGCACACCCTTCAGGGAAAGGCACCGCCAGAGTTTAGAGCGGTCGACTGAGTCGAAAGCCGCTTTCAGTTCGAGGAAGATGGAAATGGTGGGTCTAAGAAAAGATTGTCTGTGTCGGGGCCAGAGGCCATATTCCTTTTGAGATAGCTTATTTATCGGGAAACCTCCATTTCGGATGGAGGACTGATGTCGACTGGCAGTATTTGCACAGTTGAATCGAGTGTACGGAGGTCTTTTGCTGACGGGGGCCAGCTGAACTGTACCCTAAAATGTTCTGCCCATCGATCTAGACGGCGTTGCTCCCTGGCTGGGGACCCAGAGATCATGGTCACCAGTGGTTAGAGAGACTGAGCGATATTGCTGGGTGTCTTAAACGGTGGCGCTCATACATCTACTCATTATTCTTGTAACTTCAGTCTATGAAAATGTGCTACCTTCTGCTTAACTCTGCTCTCAACATTCTAATCATCATTCTGCTATTTTATCCAAATGACCAAAATGCAGTAACGAAAATCGGCGCACGAAAGTGCATGGTTAATGGTTGCAAGAACTGAACTTATACATGCAGTTGCCTGATGTGATATGTCGAACAGAAATTTCTATGTTGCCTGTGGGCAAATTACACAAATTGGAAGCAAAATAGATGCACGAGTACCACTGTTTCCGACACGCTTCTGTTTTCGCTCAATCCCTCTAAACGCTACTGGCATTGGTTTCCGGGTTTCAAACTGATACTACTGGCACGATCAACGTAACGTAATATGACCTCAAGCAAGCTCCTAATCTGGCTGCTTATCAAATTCTGACGATATCTACTCGTGTTTGAAAACGTCACACTTGAAGGAAGTCCATCAGGCTGTTTACTTAATACAGACTCCGACGCTGTTCATCTACGAAGACTGGTGGGTGTGCAACCGAAACCACCTCCCTCTCACTGCTGATCAAGTCCGACAATTCCCCGGTAGGGAGCGGTTGTTGTAAACTGCCAATCTACTTTCATCTTCAACACTTAAGGGTCAGTGTAAGACTTTGAACCTCATACACTCCATTACAACTAATTACGTTCTAGTGCTCTCCTCACCGAACATGGCACTGCGCAGTACAATAAGACTAGTCCATTCACTGAAATTCACACTTGGAGCCCTACAACAAAGGAATGATCTCACAGACGAACATCGATACTTGATACTCTTGTGAACCTTTGTGGCTAATCCATCACCCTCATTCAATGCATTTCAATGTTCGATCCTCATTCCACAGTTTACCATTAGTTATTCGCTTATAATTCTTCGGTAAAACCTGGGCTTACTGAATACTTCACGTGGTTTTCTTTTGTTCACTTGTCTATTTTTATCCTAATTTATACTTTTAGCCGCTGATCTCATTGTTTTCTTTTTTGTCTTGCAGCCTGAATTATCCGATATACCCTGGTCTAGATCAGCTTGAGGTTTTTATGTAATGCCTACAACTTTTGGCCAATTAGGATTATGTATATTTCTGATTGTTTTCAATAAATTGTACGCACTGTTTCCTGTGATACAATGGTGGGGTTTCAACACAACATCAGGGACAAAACATAGGTGATTCTAATTGCTTGATCATCACGACCTCCCAATAAGGCCTATTCATAACAACTACGGATAGCTATATTTTTTAGGAGAGTACAGTATTCAAGTGCGTTTATCCTCAACCATGTTTGACAAAGCACAAAGCTTTAAAGTCAATCTATCTGATTTTCCTTTATTCATAGGTTGGTCAAGCAGAACCTGCTTTCCCGACTACCCCTCAAGGCAGTCTTCACTCTGCAGCCTTTCCTATGCAAGAACTAAGCGATACTAATCGCAGGGGGCATCATCGCCGGCGTAAACCGGTTGTACCTAAATGCGCTCGTTTTCGCAACAGTCATGTGCAACGAAACAGTTTAACCCCAATCGAAACCGAGGATCTTGGAGTTACTGCCTCTCAACCACCAGTGGATGGTCTTTTGACTGTTCCGGCCGTTCCACCGACTCGACATCGAAGACGAAGAAGGGTGAGTCAGACTTGTGGCCGAAACAATTTGGGAGCGTTTTGTTTTTAGATCCGTATAATTTCTTCATTTTTTTGATTGTTTTGCACGAATTACGATCCACAAAATATCTGTCTTCGACCAGTCTGGTGGCCCCTAACCATCATATCGTTTGTGAGCAGTGGCGTTTTTTAACTTTACACAGCATATTTGGCTGATTCATTTCATTCACATGTCAATTGATTTTCTTCTCCAATCGAGTTCGAGTTCATGCTATTAACAGCTACTTCTTATCACTCACGTGGCTTTTGCACTCTTTCGATGTTGAGACCAGTTTATTCTGTCACATTCCAATCAATGTTCGGAGTGATAATACACAGTGGTTGTTTATTATTTTTTTTCAGTTCGTATCTTTACAGCCTCGTTTTTTGTGTAAAATGAACGCTACGGTTTCTGTTCTTCCACGTAATCCGACGTTTTCTGCTCGTTTTTATTTGCCTACCTTTATATTTTTTTAATGAGCAGGGATATATCTTACAAAATATCGTAATGTGCACATCCAATCCACATTAGTACAAGGGATTCCAAACTACCACGGTAGTTGTGCAGACTAATGAAAACCGCACCCCCTTTTGAATCATTCAGGGCGGTTAGTAATAAGTGGACTACTTTCGATTTTGCCTACCATCCGCAATACTTCATTTTCCTGTCTTTCTGACCCGGAATGTTTCCTCAAATAATATGGTTATCACTGCAACGTTTGTTGCCAAATAGCGTCGGAACCAGTTTCAGGTTTTACAACCATCAACCATGCACTTTCATGCACCGGTTTATGTTGCTATCTCTTGGCCGCTCATTTGGATAAAAGAGACTAACGGTACATGTGTGACCCAGTGTCTTGGTTAGGGTCTTCATTCCTCAGGCCAGGTCTTGGTTTGACCAACGCTGACCTTTTTCCATCCGCTGCCTGCGTTTGAACCAGGTTAAAATCAGTTAAATTACAGGTTCCGATCCCTTGTCAACCCGTAAATCTGAAGGCTCTCAACGTGCGGACTCACTCGTGCGTCAGCAAGCCTGTCTTTCGCGTGCCATGGACCTGTTAGCTTTAAATATTTGCTGCTTGTTGAATTCGCAAGTTCACGATCACAGTCACATAAACCAGGCTTGAACTTGATCGACTTATGTTTCTGCATGGACCACCGACTGTTCCAGTTCAGATCAGTTCTTACGACCAAAGATCAAAGATTTATTATGGGAATGACTTATATAAGCTCATTATAAGCTCATTCTTTTCTCATTTCATAGGTTCATGTGGTGGTTAAAAAACAGTGATACATACAGTTACTTGTGTAAAATGTCATGTGATACGTGCTTCTTACACTGCTGCACGCAGCTTCATTTATATTGGAATGTAAGGTGTGCTAATGTTTCATCGAGTCTCAGTTTGAAAGATTCAATGCTTGGAGCACAGACGAAGTAAGATGGGAGAAAGTCCCAGATCAAACACACTGACTGAGAATGACTGACGCCGGTATTCCAAGCGGCATTTTGAGACCACTAGTTTAAATGGATGTCCTTTAAGATGAACGTTGGGTGACAATTTCAGAAGCGGGTGACATGGATGGCTTGGGTTTTGCACTGTTTGGTATACCATACTGATATCTCCTCTGGTGCACCGGTAGTGATTGGAATATGACCCCAGTGACGTCAATCTCTGCCTATGAATACGGATTTAACCCTCTGACCACTTTGGTGGCCATCCTTTGTGGACGCTCCAGTATTTTGCAATGACGTTGTAGTCATGGTTTCCATGCCTGGATAGCGTACTCTGTGAGTAACCATGCACTTTCGCTCAGTGTCTCTAACCATCGGTGACGCAAAGCTTTGCGAGCGTCCAGCAGGGCAACCGAAGACGGGGAGATCCATCGTTTTTTATTTGATCGTGAGTCAGAATTTGCTGTTGTTTCGATTGATATTTTGATCTCTTCCTTGATTGCCGTCCAGTGCTCACTAAGTCCTCCNAATTCCGCTTCAAAGGCCGATTTGTAACCATTGCTGACATTGTATCTTGGGCATCCGTTTTCGGTGGCTTTTCTGCGTTTGTTTACTAGGCGTAGAGAGAATCTCGCTCATAGCAGAGCATGGTCCGTGTTCACGGGTGTTGACCAGTAGGACCGGCGTCTTCAATGGATCCTCGCCAGCCGTGGCTGGTGACAATGTGATCAATTTGAGTCCAGCGCTGTGAAGAAGTTGGCGGTCTCTATCTAAGGCGGTGCTGTGTTTTGCGCGAGAAGTTTGTACTTGACAGAAACCGTCCGTGATCAGCACAACGTTGGAGTAGGCGTTCTCCGTTGTCAGTCCTATTGGCTGGGATTGCGNCTGATTCGTCCAGGGATCCCACTTCAACATTGAAGTCTCCAGCCACCACCATGATGTCCGTTGACCGAGAACTTCGGAGCACTTGAGAGAGGTCCCTGTGGAATTCATCCTTTATTTCTGGTGAACTGCAATCTGTCGGTGCATACGATGGTACACTGATTCATATTCATATTCAGCAACACCGTCTAGATCGATGGGCAGAACATTTTAAGGCTCAGTTCCGCTAGCCCTCGTCAGCACAGAACCTCCCTATACCCGGTTCAACTGTGCAAATACTGCCAGTTGACATCAGTCCTCCATCTGAAATGGAGGTTTCCCGAGAAATAAACTATCTCAAAAGGTATAAGGCTTCCGACCCCGATGGGCTGTCCTCATCGTTTTTTTAAGGATGGAGGCTCAGCGTTAGTTTTGGAGTTAACAAAACTCCTGGGTTCAGTGTGGATAAGGGAACGGGTTCAAACTGAAAGCTGTGAATCGGTGATCATACCGATTTACAAAAAGGGCGACAGATCCTCTTGTAAAAACTACAGAGGAATTAATTTAATCAACATTATCTCCAAACTTCTCGCCGGCATCATACTGCGTCGATTGTCAGCCGTTCATGAAGAGTGCATACGTGAGAACCAGACTGGTTTTAGACCTGCTCGAGGTTGTATCGACCACATCTTCACTCTTCGTCAAATTCTAGAACACACTCCTTTCTAAGACCCACCATCTCCATCTTCCTCGGATCTAAAAGCGGCTTTCGACTCAGTCGACCGCTCTAAACTCTGGCACTGCCTTTCCCTGAAGGGTGTACCTCAGAAGTTTATTTCAATATTACGATCCCTTTATACTAAAAGCCGAAATCGAGTTCGAGCTTATGGCACTTTTTCGCCCGATTTCACCACGGAAGGTAATGTTCGTCAGAGTTGCCCTCTCTCCCCATTTCTATCTAACTTTGCCATAGATTCAATTCCTGAATCAGCCTTATCCTCGTGCGAGGATAGTGGTATCGATTTACTCCGAGGTGGTAGACTGTCTGATGCAGAGTATGCAGACGACATTGTGAAGATCGACGAAAGTTACAATCTTTTCTGGATAGTTTGAGTGCTAGTGTGGCCATGTTCAGTATGAGTTTTGCACCTTCAAAGTGTAAAATGTTTGTCCAAGATTGAGTTGGTCTACTCCCCAACCTCACCCTGACCGGGGAAGTAGACAAGTTTTGCTATCTGGGCAGCTATATCTCAACTGGCGGACGCATCACAGATGAAGTGTCGGCGTGGATTCGAAAGGCTCGGTTGGCATTTGCCAACTTGAGACATCTGTGGCACCGTCGCGACATCCGGCCGTCTGTGAAGCGTCGAGTATATTCTGCGGCAGTTCGACTAGTCCTTCCATACGGTGCAGAGACTTGGCCATTACGGGAAGAGGATAAAAATAGATTGTCGGTGTTCAACGTAGCATTGCACGAGTCTGGTGGGGAAACGGGACGAGCAATGCTGCCGTTAGTCTTAGAGTTTTAGGTAATCGCGGTCGTCCACTGGAACAGGTAGTCCACCTCCATAGATTACACTTGTTGGGACATGTGGTACGCATGTCACCAGATAGGTTGCCACGGCGAGCGATGTTTGCCGAAGCAGGTAGCGGTTGGAAAGGTGTAAGGTGTACAGCCGACGTTAATAAAAGCCACCCGAGGATTTCGATACCTAAAGTTCACCGCATGCTTCTGTGCACATGAATTATGCAACTCCGGGTCTCATGAATTTGTCAGTCGCCACGTCCACACATGAGCCAATCCGCTTGCCGCCAGGTCCGATGATTTATCTGGTTTCGTGAAAGTTTTCACTTCGATATGTACAAAGTTCTATCATTTTAATACCCCTTTTTTCATCGCATTTTCTTCCCTAGTGTTGCCGTTAGGA